GTCCCTTGGACTGCAAGGAGATCAAATCAGTCCATCCTAAAAGAAATCCACCCTGACTGTTCCCTGGAAGGCCAGATAATGAAACTGAAGCTCAAAGACTTTGGCCACCCAATGAGAAGGGAGCACTCACTGGAGAAGAAGACCCTGATGCTGGGAAAGATTAAAAGTCAAAGAAGGCGGGGACGGCAAGGGATGAGATGGTTAGACAGTGTCATAGATGCAACGAACATGGAATTAAGCAAACTCCGGGGGGCGGTGGAAGACAGGAAGGCCTAGCATGATCTGGTCCATGGGGTCGCAAAGAGTTGAACTCGACTGTGTGCGACTGAACAACAACAATATATATATATAATGATATATTTATATATATATAAAGCTTCTAAACCTTTTTGGGGCAGGAACCGTGGAAGTCAGTCTTTATACTGCTATGGCGTGAGTGTAATCTAGCCACTGCCGATTCAAACCACACAAGCCTGAAAGAGCTCTCCAGGGGCCAGGTGGCTGGCTGGCGGGTGTGTGTGTGTGTCTGAACCAATCCATTTAAACTCCTGTGTGCTGAGCAGGGCAGCAGCCCAATGGGGAGGGGAGGGGAGGGGAGGGGGGGAGGAAGTAGAGCCCACCTGGGCCACGTGGGCAAGGCACACGAGAGCAAAGCCCACTGTGAGGAAGGTCAGGGGTGGAGCAATCTGCTGAGCAGCTATGAACAGGTCAATGAACCGTCAAACTGACCCACAGAACGACGGGCTCCCTGTTCACAGCCGGCCAACAGGATGTGAGCCACATGTCCTCCCTCCCTCTCTGCCTCACATCTTGGGCAACAGCACCACAGCCCTTTGATCCGACTCTCCCTGGCCACGGCCTCATGAACGGATGCCGTTTCCAGATGAAACTGTGCCTAGATTCTCTGAGGCAGCCCCTGGACACGGATCTCCAGCACTTAAGAGAACATCAGGCTCAGAGATTTCATGGTGACAACCGGTTGCTCACGGAGATGTGGCCGTTCATAGGGAAGGAGAGTGTCAAGTGGTTCCAGCAGCAGGAGGGTCTATCTGACAAGGGCACGGAAATTACACCCCCACCCCACCCCCCGGGGGCTGCTGGCCATAAAAATGCAGGAGGCCAAGTCTAATCAATCTTAACAATATTTCTTTGAAGCATTAAGAAATCAATAGGGCTGATTGCAAATTTACGTTACAAAGCTGAAGTGATCCATCTTGCTGAAAGAGTCTTAAAACACAGTGACTTATGCTTCAAGTGAATCTTGTTTTTCATTAATCTGTTTTTCATCCCTTAAGAAGCCATGGGGGAGGGGGCAGCAGGTAGGCAGAGGTGCCAGGGCTCCGAATTTACCGACGCACTGTCTCATCCTGACTCCTCACTTACTCATCGATTTTATTTTTCATTATACCAATACCACAAAATAAATCCGCTTCTCCGTTTTGTGGGCCCTCCCCCAGCCCTGCTTGTGCTCCAGCATCCACACAGCCCCTCCCTGTATTTCACCCTGACCTGAGTCAGACTGAGGTGACAAGAGAGGAGGTCCTAAAACTGATAGACAACTTAAAAACTGATAGATCACCTGGCCCAGATGGCATACATCCGAGAGTTCTGAAAGAACTCAAATGTGAACTTGTAGATCTCCTGACAAAGATATGTAATCTTTCCTTAAAATCAGCCTCCATTCCTGAGGACTGGAAGGTAGCTAATGTCACTCCCATCTTTAAAAAGGGTTCCAGAGGAGATCCGGGAAATTACAGGCCAGTCAGTCTGACGTCGATACCGGGTAAATTGGTGGAAACCATTATTAAGGAAAGAATTAGTAGGCATATACATGAACAAAACCTATTGAGGCAGACTCAGCACGGTTTCTGTAAGGGAAGATCTTGTCTCACAAACCTGTTAATGTTCTTTGAGGGGGTGAACAAACATGTGGACAAGGGGGATCCAGTAGATATTGTTTACCTTGACTTCCAGAAAGCTTTTGATAAAGTGCCTCATCAAAGGCTCCTAAGTAAGCTCAAAAATCATGGGATAGAAGGACAAGTCCTTTTATGGATCAAAAACTGGCTAATTAATGGAAAACAGAGAGTGAGTATAAATGGGCAGTTCTCTCAGTGGAGGGGGGGGTAAGCAGTGGGGTACCGCAGGGATCAGTACTTGGTCCACTGCTTTTTAACTTGTTCATTTCTTCTTAGCAGTGGTGCCCTGGTAAGTGAAAACAAAAGAAAAAATTCCTAAGTTATGGCTTATGTGTAAAAAAAAATACATTTTGAAAACCATGGCCAACTTATGGTCCTTCTGAATTATTTAGAAACATGTTTCTAATAATACCTAGCCTCCATCAAGTACTTTACACATGATTATTGTTTAAATTTTATTGATAAAATATTCCTTGATGTTTGACCCAAAGACAGGAATCAACTGTATTATTTGTTCCATTCCATGTATTGCAGTAGAGTGCTGGCTTTTTGCTGTGAATAAATTTGTTGTTGTCCCAGTCCATATTTTTATATGGATTGTATCAACCTCTGCCTACTAAACATATGCTTTTTAAAAATGAGGTTCCAGTGGAGTAGGGCAAGAAGTTGCAGTGACAAGGACTCTGTAGGATAAACTGGCTCATTCAGATTTCATGTAAAACCATAATTAGGATGACTGTCTGAACCTGGCCACTCACTGTTGTTGTGTTGGTTTGTCAGGGAATATAAAACCAAAATCTGAAACCATGTTTGAAGTTGGTTTATCTGAAGAAGCGTGCGTGCACAGGGAAGCCTATACCCAGAAGTAAACTTTGTTGGTCTTAAAGGTGCCACTGGATTCATACTTTGTTTTGTTAACCACAGTTAGTCTTAAATACGGTTCTGCATTCTGTACAAACATGGACATCGTAGCTTACTCCTGGCTAGGGACATATGAACACCTGCCAGTTTGGCTCATGCTCTGTTCACTGATCACAAGCAGGGACGATTTTTCGAGGACTGGTTCAGTAAGTCATCAATCTGTTTGCCGGTATTCAACATGTTGCTTCACTGTATTTATTCCTAGCCATGCATTGCGACTGAGGGGTGACATGATTGAGGTTTATAAGATTATGCATGGGAAAGAGCAGGTAGAGAAAGAGGTACTTTTCTCCCTTTCTCACAATACAAGAACTCGTGGGCACTCCATGAAATTGCTGAGCGGTCGGGTTAGAACGGATAAGAGGAAGTACTTCTTCACCCAAAGAGTGATTAACACTTGGAATTCACTGCCACAGGAAGTGGTGGCGGCTACAAGCATGGATGGCTTCAAAAGGGAATTAGATAGGCATATGGAGCAGAGGTCCATCAGTGGCTATTAGCCACAAGGTATAGATAGGGGCTCTGGGGCAAGTGATGCTCTGTCTTCTTGGTGCTTGGGGGGGGGTCAACAGTGGGAGGGCTTCTAATGTCCTGGCCCCACTGCTGGACCTCCTGATGGCCCCTGGTATTTCTGGCCACAGTGTGATACAGAATGTTGGACGGGATGGGCCTTTGGCCCGATCCAACATTGGCATCTCTTATGTTCTTATGTTCTTACCCGGGTCCTCTCTGCCCTCACTCGGATGCGTCAAAAAACACCCCCCCCCATGTTAAGGGACACAGGCCTAGCCTCAAGTGACAGAGCAGCTCTCTAGAGGGACAGGGCCAGTTGCTGGGATCGAACTCCGGCCCAGAGCCAGGACAAGGGCACGGAGCAAGAGTTGGGCACGAGACAGAGGCCTCGGATGCGTCAAAAAACACCCCCCCCCATGTTAAGGGACACAGGCCTAGCCTCAAGTGACAGAGCAGCTCTCTAGAGGGACAGGGCCAGTTGCTGGGATCGAACTCCGGCCCAGAGCCAGGACAAGGGCACGGAGCAAGAGTTGGGCACGAGACGGAGGAGGTGCTGACGGCACGCCTCCCTCAGCCACGAGGCTCACGGGGCCAATATGCCACCTCGCTGGATCCACAGAGCTCTGGCAGTCACAGGGGTGGGGGAACATGGCACAAATGCTACCCAGAAGACAGCCTGGAACCCCCAGACAGCAACTCTGCCTCCCATCGCTTGCAAACCGCCGGCTGGTGGATTTTAGCACAGACACTTGAGTTGTGAAGGTGACTCCAGAAGAGGGGGAAATCACGGGGGAGGCTGCCCCGGACGGGCCCGAATTCGGCTGAGGGGTTCGGGGGATACGGAATACTTGCCTCCAGACTCCAGGAAGAGGGAGGAAGGGTCCAAGAGAAGTATCCCGGTGGACCTGGGCTCCTGCCCTGCCGACAAGCCTGAGGAGCCCTGGCTGCAAAAGGTGGGTGCAGCAGAGGCTGTGGCCGCCATTCCCCCCACCCCCACCCCCGAGGAAGAAGGATGGGAGCGTCCCAGCTGGAGAATTGGTCGGGGGGGGAGGCGCAGGAGCGGGGCCAGAGGAGTTTAAGGGCGGGAGAGCCCTCCTCTGCCTCTACGGAGGGTGAGTGACGGGCCAGAGAGATAGAGAACCGTGGAGATAAACTCTCACGCGAGGAACATGGGTGGAGAAACCCCCTCCATAGCTTCAGTCTCTCTTGGGAAAATCCGACGTCCTGGAGCCTGCCCCTCTACTGACCCAACCCCGGGGACTCCCCAGTTGTGACACCTGCCCATTATCTTCCTGTGCGTCAGTCAATGGGAGCAGCTACACACGGGGAAAGCGGTTTTTACAGGGCAACTGATCCACCCCATAAGGAGACATGCCAGCGGTTTAACGCAACCAGAGGGAGTGAAGTCTCCCCCCTGCCCCCAAGCACCACCGACACCTACCTTCCATGTGACTTGGATGCTCTGGGAAGTCATGGGCTGCAAGGTGACATCCATCGGGGGCCCATCGGGAGCTGCAAAAGGAGAGGGCGGGTGACTAGCTGCCTCCAAGAGGCTTCTCTCCCCAGGAATGCAAAGGCGGGAGAGGACAGACCTCTGGCTGAAGCCTCCCTCTTGGTGGCTCCTGCGCCCCTGCCCAGAAGCTACTGGGACATGAGTCAAGGGAACCTGGGGGGGGACTCAGAGCTCTGCAAGAGGGCAGGGTCAAGAGCAGCCCTTCGTCATTCCTGTTCCACCCCGAGCCAGACGTTCCAAGGAGGAAGGACCTTGTGACCCACCCCGCCTCCCACGGAACTGGCCAGGCCCTGAGCTGGCCTGGCCTGGGGACAAGGCGAGGCAAAGGGCTGAGAAGCCGGAAAGGTAATGAGAAGCCGCCCAGCTTGCCTAACCCTAACCTTCACCCCGCTCCAAAAAGCTCTTTGCTGGAGAATGATGGGAAGCCTACAGCACCCAGGGCAGGACGGAGCTAGCCGGGCCACACACAGGGAACAGGGCCAGAAGTCCAGCTGCGCTACAGGAGGACAGAGCCTGGACAGCGCTCCCTTCCTGAACGTTCCTGCAGCACGATCTACACTCCGTGTGCGCACTTCTCTGCTGTCCTCCCAAAACTCTCAGCTGGCAGACTTCAAAGGGCGAGTGCTGCCCTCGCAGGCGGTGCGTGCTGGACCAGGGCAGCCCGAGAACGATCTGATCCGGTCTTGGACACAGTCGCCAGGGGCCCTCCTACGGCTGCCGTAGGCTCTGAGGCTGCCCCTGTATAATCCTCCCCCCCCACTCACAAGGGAGGCGTGTCTGGTCCCGCCTTTTACTGGCCAGGCAGAGTCTGACCTTTTGGGCCAGGCCCCTGGGAGTCCGTTACAAGTCCCACTGGCTTTTAGCTTGCAGAGAACTGTGCTACCGTTTTAAATGTTGCTTGCTATGTTTCAACCCTAGGTCACTGCTGCTATTTTTTAATGCCGTTTTTTAATTCCATCCACTTTGTTGTACTCGGAATCTTTGCTGTTAGATTCAAATGTTATCATATTTTGTAATCCGTTTATGAACTGACCAAAAAGTCTGTTATCATACTTGTAATTTGCCTTCAGTCCCAGTGAGAAAGCTGAATATACATGAAAAAAATATAACGGCAACAACAAGAAGAAATATTGAAAATATTGTTTTTAACTTTTACATGTGAACTCGTTTGGATGTCCAGAACATCATTTCCCAGCATTCCTGAGGAGGCAGAGGAAGCATGTAGAAGAAGCCCGCCCCCGAGCCCATCACTCCTCCTTGGTCACCTCTGAGCAAGGCTCTGCCTGCTCGCCAGGAGGCCCGTGGCGGCCCAGCTGCCTGCCAGCCCGGAATGCCTGACATCCACCCTGTGGCACCCCCCCCACCCCCCGTGGCTGTCCCTGGAGGCCCAGCTTCAGGGGGGGGGGCCCTGCCATCTGAGGCGACACAGGTGGCAATCCACGGAAGAGCCTTCTTGGTTGTTGCTCTAAAACTCTGGGACTCCCTCTCCATCACGAAGGTCTCCTTCTATTGCTGTGCTCTGCTAACAGGTGAAGACTGCTCTGTTCTGTTTGGCATACCAACAACAACTGTTACTGGCCTCTACCTGGATTTTTGGTACTATGCCTGCTTATATATATTTTTATGGAGTGATTGCCCATATACTTTATTTTAAATGTTTTTAATGTTGAACTGTTCTAATGCTTGATGTTCACCACCTTGGGGACCTTATTCGGTAGGTGGGAAGGTAACACAGAAATGTTTCCAATCAGTCAACCAATGAATAACGCAGGCTCCCCCCCCCCGCCCCGGCGGGGGGGGAGGGCCTCTGGGGGGGGGAGAGGGGCCCACCTGCTTCCTCACTGCTGACAGTGAGCTCTTTGCTGGGCTCGCTGCGGCCAATCTTGTTGAAGGAATACATGCGGATGCTGTAAACGGAGGCCGGGTGGAGGTCGACGATGTTGGCCTGGTTGATGGTGGGGGAGATGTTGCGTGTGGACTGCTTGAAGTCCCAAGAATCTGCAAGGAGGAGAAAGCAGGGGGGTCTGTGCCACTCGTCCTCCACTCACACAGGGGTGAGATGCCAGCTGATGCCACGGAAGTGCACAAGGAGTGGCTCTGGATAAGGAGTCCTGCTCCCTGAGAATAGGCAGAGGCTGAAAGAGGCAGCTGAAGGACTTCCAGCAGATCAGCCGGAACCAGATAAGCCAAACAGCGGTCTGGACAGAGACGGCTCCGGAGGGTTCCGGGCGCCCTGCACTGCAGTCCTTTTGCAGAGGCCTGTTCAGGTGAGCCAGTGTCCCACCCTCCTCCCTACCACACCCTCACCCAGTGAGCTCTGGAGCCAGATGCGGGAGCACAGCTCTAGGAGCCCGTGGCAGCCAAGAGAAGAGCCTGCTTCTGCCACAAGGTGCTCTGCTGTTGTATCCCAAGGAGCTCAGGGTGGCATGCGTGGCTCTCCCCTTCCAGCCAGCCCACTCAACAACCCTGTGAGGTAGGCCGTTAAAGCACACCAGGGACCCCAAAACAGTCAGTCTCTCTCTCAGCCTCACATCCTTCGCAGAGTTGTTGAGGGGATAAAATGGAGGGGGGGGAGCCACGGAGGGGAGCCACCACCACCCCGATCTCCCTGTTGGAAGGGCTGAGAAAGGGGGGGGGCAGAGAGCAAGAGAGAGAGAGAGAGAGAGAGAGAGAGAGAGATGAGAGAGAGAGAGAGAGAGAGAGAGAGAGAGAGAGAGAGAGAGAGAGAGAGAGAGAGAGAGAGAAGGCTGCCGCCAGCTGGAGAATCCGCCTTTTCTTGGCACAGGCCAGAAGCAGCAAGGTGGCTGAAGGGGATGAGGAGTCTTCCCAGGGCTTGGGAACAGGGCAGAGGACAAGCAGCAGGGCACAGAGAAGCTGGGGGGGGGCAGGCAGGGAGCAGGACACGGCCGGGGGGGGGGTGCATGCCCCCCCCCCAGGGCCAGTCGGGGCCTTCTATGCTCTGAGCGTTGTTTATGGTTTTATTAGCAGTTGCAAAATTATAAACATCCCAAAGATTACGTGGCTTTTACGACATACACGAAACATTAACAAGAAGTCTGAATCTGGTAAGAAAGAACAGTAACACCAAAAATGATTCTCAGTGAAGAACACAGAACCTGCCCAGCCTCTGGTGGCACACGCCGTGGCCAGCCAAGGTGTGTCTGGAAAGATGCAACCAAGACACACACGCACACGCATCAGTCAAGCATCAGGCCTCTGGTGGGCCTCTCCTGCATGGACGTGTTCCATTCTCCTCTGAAGCAATCCAAGCCGTGTATTTTGTAAATAAATAACTCACTGTGTGAAGAAGTACTTCCTTTCCCCTCCCCAGAAACCCTAACCCAGAAACTAGTGCCATCAATTGCACTGCCTGCCCCCAAGACTTCTAGTATTGTGCGAGAGGGAGAAAAAGACGTCTCTTTCCACTTTCTCCATTCCATGAATAATAATTGTATAAACCTCTATTGTGTCTCCCTTTAGTCAGCTTTGCTCTGGACTAAAAAGCCCCCAGTCCTTTAGCGCTTCCTCTTTGGGAAGGTTCCGCAGTGATGGCCACAAGCTAAAGATGTACCCTGGTGGATCAGACCAGTGAAGGTCCATCTAGTTCAGCATCCTGCCTCACACCGTGGCCAACCAAATGATAGAGAACCACAGAGCTGGAAGGGACCTCCAGGGTCATCTAGTCCAACCCCCTGCACAATGCAGGACATTCGCAAATACCCCCTCACACACCCCCAGTGACCCCTGCTCCATGCCCAGAAGATGGCAAAAAGCCTCCAGGGTCTCCAGCCAAACTGGCCTGGAGAAAAATTGCTTCCTGACCCTAAAGTGGCCATCAGCATTTCCCTGAGTGTGTCAGAAAGGGCCACAGGAACGAAGTCCTGGTGCAACAATTCCTGCCCTCCTTCTCATGGTCTGCCTAAGTAGGGCCAATAAACAGGAAATAGAAGCCTTCCCCTGATGTTGCCTACTGGCTCTGGGCTTCAGTAGTGGCTAGTAGCCACAGATAGACCTCTCCTCCATAAAGCTATCTGATCCCTTTCTAAAGCTGTCTGTGCCCGTGGCCATAACTACATCCTCTGGCAGCAAATTCCACATTTTAATCACTAGCTGTGTAAAGAAGTATTTCCTTTTGTCCACCCTGAGCCTACTGCCCATCAGCTTCATTGGATGCCCTCAAGTTCCAGTATTTGGGGAGAGGGATAAAAATGTCTCTTTGTCAACTCTCTTCACCACCTGCCTAATTTTATAAGCCTCTGTCTTGTCCTCCAGTAGTCCTCTCTTTTCCGAACTGAAGAGTCCCAGCAGACTCTTCAGCCTCTCCTCCTGGGAAGGAGCTCCAACCTTCCTCTGTACTTTCCCCAGCTCTGCAGTGCCTTTTTCGAGATACGGTGACCACAATGGCACACAGTAGAAAGGAGCAAGTGTCCAGTGGACCCAACATCAGCACCGATTTAATCTAATGTCCAGCAGCCTGGTGGGAGCCCAGTCGGTAGTGGTGGCTGACCACCGGGATGCTGAGAGCCCACCTCTGAGTACTTATTGAAGTGAGCCGTGACCCACCAAGGCTCCTCCCCTGCCACAAATTTTGTTGGTCTTTCAGGTGCTCCTGGACTCTGGCTCTTTTCTGCTGCTGCAGACAGACTCACATGGCTATTCATCTAGAACTGTACGCAGTATTCCAAATGAAGCCGCACCATAGATCTATACAGGGGCTTATAATATCGGCTGTTTTATTCTCAATCCCTCTCCTAATAATTCCCCAAATGGAGTTTGCCTCTTTCACCACTGCAGTACACTGGGTTGACACTTTCATTGAGCTATCTATTATGACCCCAAGATCTTTTTCCTCTCAGTTGCAGCAAGTTTGGACCCCGTTAGCCTATACTTGAAGCTGGGATTTTGTGTCGTACAGTGCATCCCCCTGCCTTTACCAACACTGGATTTCGTCTGCCACACAGATGGCTTTAAGAGGGAATGAGATGGATTTGTGGAGGAGGAGGAGGTGGAGGCCCATCAGTGGCTACTAGCCATGGTGAGTAAGAGAAGCCCCCGTATATAGAGAGAGCAGACCTCTGGATCCCCGCTCAAGGGAGGAGCCTTGGCCTCTGAGCCCTGTTTGCTGGCTCTCCAGGAAGAGCTCTTTCAAGCCACTGGGTGAGACAGGGCACTGGACAAGATTGGTCGCATGGGTCTGATCCAGCAGGGCTCTTCTTATGGTTTCCCTTTCAGTACCTTCTTCCAGCTCTATTCTGATTTAAGGCAACAAGAACTGTACCCCGTTCCAAGACTGGCCACACCAGGAACCTGGAAAACCCGTTCCTCCTTACTGCTGTACACGGAGCTGATATTGCCATTGGGTGATTCATGAACCCCCCACCCCCATCAGTTCACCACCAACAGGGAATACGTGGTGTGGCATCACTTCACAACGGCTTGCACTGAATCTCCTGTGTCACATCGTTGCCCACACTTGCCCACCCAAACTGGAGAGATCCTCTTAAGAGTTCTTCAGAATTCACTCCACTGTTTGACCCCCCTGAAGCACCTGGTGTTGTCGGAAAACGTAGCCACTACCCTGCTCCAGGCCCATGCAGATCTCTGCGGAGCCCCGCCAGGAGCTCGGGGCACCGCCTCCCACCCCCACCCCCGGCTCCCCCTTTTGGCTCGGCCAGGTTTGAGGCCAGGAGCCTCACAAAGACCAGCAGGGCCCTTGAGTGTCAAAGCTCCCTTCGCCAGAGGCTCCCCCGCGCCAGACCCGCGCATACGGCTGCGCCCATCTGAGACCTTAGCCGGGCAGAAGCTCATCCAAACAGAACTCCAAAAACAAAACCCGTGACTGGCGACACAACCTGTTTTCTGGGTGCCGGGGGGGGGGGGAGACCAATGTTGCCTTTGGCCATGAGGCAGAGGCTGCTGGAGCATCCTGCAGATTTAGGTACCACCAGTGTGCAGAGGCCTGGTAGGAAGGCAATAACGGGAGTGATGACAGCTGCCACTGATCATACAACAACCAGGGGTTAATCAAGTTTCTCCCTATTGACCCCAGATGGAAGACGGACGCGCCTGGGGAAATGGGGTGGTGCCTCTAGGAACAGCCCTGGAAACTCAGAGAACAGGCCATGACCCAGCGCTGTGCGTGCCAAAAGTCTCAGGTTCAATCCCAGGCATCTCCAGTTTCAAGACAGGGATCGGATCAGGAGGACACTGGGGATGTGAAAGATTCTCCAACGGAGGCCCTGGAGAGCTGCAACCACTGAAGAGTCCTGTGTCCAAGACTGAGCCCTGCAACAGCCCCAGGCCTCAATGGATGTGCTGCCATCCCATAAGTGCTCTGTACTGATTTCTCTTCCACCAGCTGTGAATCTATCTTACTGGCATCCATTCTGCAAAATAAAATGTCATGGGAGACTTCCTCAAAAGCGTTGTTGAAATCCTGCAGTTCCCTCACCTAGAAAGCAGATCTCAGCTGGAGACGTGGGCCCCTAGTCCAGGAGGGCTCCTGCCACCAGGCCTCTGACTGCTTTTGCTGCAATAGGCTCTGAAGTCAGAGTGTGCACGAAAATAAAAATGGTATTTTTCGGGTTTGGGTAAACCGGGCCCGAAAAATATCAGTATATACCGATATTCCCGAATCCCAATATCGATAAGATATTGGGGTTCAGGAAAATTCGGTACTGCCGAATATATTCGGCCATTATACCCTATGGGCGCCTGGGGAAGGGAAGGCAGAGCTGGTCAGTTTCAGTCATCTGAAGCTGACCATTGCCTTCCATCCCCCATTCGGGGCCTGAATAAAAGCCAGATAAGATCGGCTTTTATTCAGGAGCACCTTATTGGCAGCCGAATCAGATTAGAACCTGATTCGGCTTAACTAATACCCGAAAAATACCAATATTTTTTCAATTCAGCAAATCCAAATGCACACCCCTGCTACGATGCTGTGCACCAGAGAGTCTCCAGTTCAAACTGGATTACTTTATCCATTAGCTTACTTGAGGGCCCCAGGCACACTGCTCCTGCTAAGCCTCAAGTTCTCCCTCCCTGCAAGACAAGGATGATGATGAAATCCTTACAGAGCTCTTTTGTGAAGCACCTGGAGGTGCCCCGTGTGCCTGCTCAGTGCAGCTCCCCTCACTGTGCAGCCACTGGAAACGCTTCCTCAACCAGCCCAGCCACAGGAAGAGGCAGCCCCTTGGTCATGCCCACCCCAGGCTCCGCCCAACTCACCAGACTTGTTCTTGTACTCAATGTCAAAGCCAGTAATGATGCTGTTGCCATCAAACCTCTGTGTCCACCGCAGATTCATGCTGCGGGCCTTCACTTCCCGGATCTCCAGCTCAGGAGGGTCTGGGGGCTCTGGGACAAGAAGCAGGAAGTCAGGAAGAGTAGCTCCAACTACACCCTCTCTGTGCCTGCTCCCCAAGCTTGTTTGCTGCTCAGAAAAGGCAGAGCAGAGCACAGGGAGCATCACGGAAGAAGACACTGGCCTAAGCCAGAGAACTGTGGGAAGGAGACTCCCCCTCACGTCCAGTAGGGCACCAACTTTTGTGGGTACTTCAGTGGAACCAAAAGCAAGGATAAGCTGGGCAAACAGACAATTCTTTGCACTTCCTCTGTGTAGGACAAAATGGCAAAGACAAATGGAGGTCATGCCAGTCGGACCTTGGAGACTGGCCAGCTGAGGAGGGGCATGAGTGTGAGGGTGGCACACCGAAGAGGAGACTGGCCAGCTGAGGAGGGGCATGAGTGGTGGCACACCGAGGAGACACCCACCCCTTGCCCCCAAAGGCTGCACTCAGCTGAGTGGCCAATCCAGCAGCTAGATCTGAGTACCTTGGACAGTGAGCTGGATGAGACCTCTGTCTTCCCCATAAGAGTTGATGGCATGGCACGAGAAGAAAACGGAGTCCCCACGGTCAGCTGGCTTGAGCTACAAAGAAGACACCGTCTCATCGGCAGGCTCATCCTTGCAGGGTAGGCCTTACAACTTGGCAAAATCCAAGGCAAAAAAATCCTCTCCCCTGCCTGGCCACCACCTCCTCTGAGAGAAGACTGCACTCCAGGCAGAGGTGGCCCAGTTTCCTCCGCCAGCTGTTGAGCAAGGCCCTTCCATGCCCTGTACAAGGTTTGTGGCTCAGGGTCTTGGGAACAGCTCCTGTGTTCACACTAGGCCACAAGAGCAGCCACACACACACACCCGCAGTGGCACCCGCTCACCTTAAGTGTGGAGATGACCTCGTCCCCGTTGTCCTTGGTGGTGATGGTGTAGCGGATATTTCGGTCTGGGTCAATCACCGTGTCCCCCTTCTCCCAGCGGATGATGATGGGCCGCTCGCCTCGTGCCGTGCAGTTCAGCTCCTTGGCCTGCCCTTTGATGGCGATGGTGGTGTTGGGGTGAGAAGTGACCATGGCAGGGACTGCACAGGAAGAAGCAGCATTGACAGATGGGGGGACAAGGAAAAAGAGCCCAGCAAGGGCTTCTGTCAGCAGACGCAGACAAGGCATGCAGTGGTAGGGCCCTTGGACACCACACTCCCCCCTCCCGAGGAGGAAGCAGCAGAACCCCACTTTCTGTCCCCCTGCCTCCCTCAGGGGGAATGGGAGGATGTATGGGGACCCATCTGACACCGCAGGGACCTCCAGAGCAGCCCCTCATTTCCTGGTGGGAGCTGACGGGCCCAGGTCCTCTGGCCAGCAAGGGACCCTTGGCTGGGCCATAAGAGCCTGGCCAGGGAAGCCCTAGACAAGAGCCGGCCGATGCTCCCCTCCATTGGGAAACAGCCATCTCATCTCCCAGTGGGTGAAGTCTGGTCCTCATGAATCGAGGCAGAAAGAAGGTGGGTTGGCACGACAAATGGCCCACTTTCGGCCAAGGTCTCAAGATGATATTCTCATCTGGTCCGCAGTCTAAGATCTAGGGACTTCCTGCCTGGGGAGTCATGCAACATCTCCAACTGGAGAACCATATTCAGTCCCACCAGACCACCACTACCCTGCCATACCGCTGCCACCCCCGCATGCTGGCTCCCCGGGGCCAGCCTCCCTCCAGTGGCCAAGAGTGGGCTGACACCCCACGTGGACGTAGTCATGGGGCTTGGCTAGAGCCTCCAAGTCTCTGCCCTGGTTCTCACTCCTGTGCAGATGCACACCATGTGAAGTCCCCTGTAGATGCAAATCACTTCTGGTTTGCTGTAATGTCAACACGAGCACAGAGCACCAAGAATGCGCCTGCAGATTGCCTGCAGACACCTGCAAATACATTTCTATGACTTCAGTCTAATTTCTGTTCCCAGCCAAGGAGCGGGGCACAGCAGACGTGTGAGAGAGGAGGGGGAAAGAAGTGTGTGTGGGGGTGTGTGTGCGTGTGCGTTGTTCCATTCATTGCTTCACACGTAACAACAACTCCACCAGTTCTGGCCAAGTGCATTTGTTGCAGCGGCACTGGGCACTGCAGCCAGAAGGGGAGACATTTCCATGCACTGTACAGCTTGGATCATAAAATAATGAGGCAGATAAATTTTATAATGCATAGTATTACACCCGGATACACAATAAAAGGTGAAAGACAAATAACCAGGCAGAGGTTATAATGAAGAAAAAGCCACCGCTATAGAGACAGGCCCAGATGAATTATTGACTACGGCTTTACGCTCTCAAGGCTGTGCCGTGGAATATTTTTCCATCAGAGATTTGCATAATCCACTCAGAGGAACCCGGGCAGAATACAGAGGCAGCAACCGGCCAGGCCTGGCGCTGCAGATGCTGGAGACACAGCAGGCACCAGGGTGGGGACAGAAGGACAAAAGGGGCTCCCAAGACACACACACCACACACACACACACACCCAGAGTCTGCTGGAGAGGCGGGGCAGCCTGGCCGGGATCTCTGGCCCGGCCTCACTGGGACAGCTCAGGCTCAGGAGGCCCCTCCGCTGGCCGGGCCTCAGAGCTGCGAGGCAAAGAGGCCTCTGGGGCAAACGCAGCCGTCCCTCCCATCCCGCAGCAGCAGCGGCACACCGAATGGAGACGGCGTTTCGGCTGAGCCTCTTTCTGCAGGTCACCAGAGAGAGAGGGGAGAGAGAGCGAGAGAGAGAGCGCTGACCCACCCGGGCATCCCAAGCCGGGGGTGGTGGGGGTGGGGGTAGTCCGGCATGGAGCGGCTGCTGATGGCTCTGCCTGGGACTGGGGAGCAGGAGCTCACAGGGGGAAGCAAGTGGGCCAAGGCAGGTTGCCGTGACCAGTGGCCCAGGTGGTTCCCAAGCTCCTTCTAAGGGCCATGGGAGTTTCTCAGTAGGTCAATAAATGCACGCAGGCCCATCAAAGCAGCCCGAGCGGACTCTGCTCAGATCCCGGTGGGTGTGGCTGTGTGCACACTGACAATGCGGAACGGTGGTCAGAGTTCACATCTGGCTACACATCTGGCACTGCGCAGCCACGAAGCTTGTCAAGTAGCGTTTGGGGCTATAGGCAAAGGCATTTTGCAGGGACCACAGACATCCTGAATGCGAGTCTGAGAAAACAAAGGGAAGAAGCGACCCAAGCTCCCACTGCCTGCAGCAGCGTCACAGACGGGCAAAGCCGCTTCCTGGTCCTATCCCAGCCCACTAGGCGGCACAGCCAAGTGCCCAGCCCCCCATCCTGGCTGCGCGAGCAGGAGCTCTGCCTTGGCAGCTGGGGGGTTGGGGGAGGTGCCCGGGGAAGGCTGCTGCCCTCCCAACCAGTGGTGAGCTGCACACAGCGATGCAGGCTCAGGGGGCAGGGATTACCAAATGCAAGGCACATGCAAACAGCGCCGTAATAGATGGTAATGACTCTCCGCAAAGGCAACACACAGTGTCCTAATGGGGCGCAAGAGGGTTTAATGAACTGCAGCGCCTCTGTTTTCCATGGCAATATAATTCAATTAGCCCTCCCATCGGCAGGGACACGCCTGGGAGTTGACCAGGCAGCCGGCTGTGCTGAAGCCACACAGACAGGCCCCGACACCACCCTGCACGCAAGAGGGCATGGAGCGCCCCAAACGCAGGGGCAGGGGCACTGAGGCCAGCAATGGACGTGTCTGTCCCCCTGAGCGGCACCCGGCCCTGGGGTGGGAGACCAGAAAAGCCTCCCACGAGAGCAGAGCCCACCCAGTCCCTTGGCAAGTGCTGGAAAGGGCAAACCTCAGAAACCTTGAGCTCTGACAACAGTAAGAGCATTGCTGCCTATGCCATGAGAAAGAGAGAGGGGGGAGCACACAGAGGAGGAGGAGGAACAGATGCAGGAGTCGGAAGGAGGGGAAGAGACATACATAATGAGAGAGCATGAGCAGTGAGGGAGGGATCCGGGTGCGGGGTGCGTGGGCATGCACCAAAGACAAACAGATTGGCCATGTCAGACAGCCCACAGACAGGCGCTGGTGCTTTCCCGCACCACTGGACTGCTCACGGGCACAGCCGCTCCAGCAAGCCCTGCTCAAGTTCCTGTTTTGCTTGGAAAGGCTGAGGGCAGCCAAGGATGCCTGCACAGCTCTTGCCCTCCTCACGGAAGGCCCCGGCCGGCGCACGGGACGTGTCTCTTCTGCTCCTGCTGCCCATGTGGTGGGCGGCGGTGGTGGTGGTGGCGGCAGTGGCAGCAAAAGGACCACAGAAATCTGGACCCTCTTGGCATCCCCTGAGCAGGCAGAGCCAGAAAGAGACGGCACCAGCCCTCGTGCGTGGAGAGGGGTCCTGGCCCTCCTCTTCCGTGGCCATGATCCCTCCTCTCAGGCCCCCGCATAGCTCCATCTTGTGTCAACGAGCAGTGGGTTGATGGACCAGGGGCTCACAGGCAGGGCCCTCAGGCAAGCGTGGGTGACTAGCCCAGGGCCTCAGGGGGCACAGAGGAGGACGACGCCCGCGGGGGGGGGGGGGGGGCACGGGTGCCACAACGCCACTCCTCCCAGCAGACCCTGCGGCTTTTCACCCTGACAAGGGCACGGCAGAGAGGGACTCCCCAGCCACACCACCTCCTCCCAGGCCATTCTGGACAGGAATTCTTGGCCCCAAATCGGAGCCTTGGCCTGGGTCTTCCTACGAGAGGCTGCTGAGAACTGGGGCTGAGTGACCCACAGAATTCCTTTGTGGCCTGCCTTTGGGGGGAGTGGCCGTTCTGCAGGGCCCGGGAGGCGGAGATGTTCTGCCAAGCACACGGTTCACGACAGCCACGGTCTGGCCAGTTCACTTCCCCCCACACACACACGAGGCTGAAATTGAACTGTGGCGCCATACAGGTTTTATGTTTTCATACGTGCCACCTGCTGTTTTAAGATTTCTGTATTTTATCTGTATTTTTAGATTAATGGGTTATTTTTATTCCTTGTACACCACTCTGAGCCCGCTCTGTCTGTGGGGACAGCAGTATCGAAGTTTAATAAGTAATAATAGCAGACACAGTTTTCAAAGAGACTGCTGGGCACGGGGAGGACTCCGGTTGAGGGAGGGCCGGGGGGGGGGAGGCCCAGAGCGAGAGGGACTGGGGGCCTCCCCTCCCCTCCCCTGAGCCGGAGCCCTTTTGTCTGCAGCCGCCAGCAAGCGAGACGAGAGGCTGTCCTCCGTTCAGGGTCCCCCTTTCAGGGTGCAGTGTTAACACACGACACAGACAAGAGGGCGATCCCATTTGGTGGGTTGCGATAAGAGAGTTACAAAGGAGATCCGTCGTCGCAGCAGCTCTGGGTGTTCTTCAATCCTGAGCAGAGCTGAGAGCCGTGCCACGCCTGGCTGGAGCGGCAGGAAAATGGAAACAGCCACCGAGGAAGGGAGAGGGTGGCGGCAGGGGCGGAAGCGGCAGCATGTGTGTGCAAAGCGCGCGCCTGAAGTGCTGGCTCAATGATGTTAATTTGATTGCACCCATTCCAGCTTCTTGTCTACACTGATTAACTGCATTTCACCTGAAGTAGGGGATTAATTCAAGTTGCCTGGAAGCAATCAGGGCTGCTTGCAGAGCAGCCCCAGCCGGCACATCCTGCCCAGCCCCAGCCCCACACCTGCTGGCCGGGGGGCGGGGGGGGGGCTCTGGCCCCATGGCCATCCTGACAACGGCCACACATTTTGCTGCCCGCACCATGAAGCGGGAGGATCCAGGCGGTCCCCAGACAACCTGGGCAGGACCCACCTCCACCAGACTGGACCATCACTCCTCTTTTCAAGCTGCTGGACCACAAGCCACAAGACCCCCTGCCTGGCCTCCGGGAGGAATCTAGACCCCCCCCCCCCCCCCCACCCCCCTAGCTGACCCTCCAGTGAAGCAGCTTTCCTTCCTTGCTCCTCAGAAGCTTAGGACAGCAGCCAATCGGATGGCAGGGTGGACTGAGCAAGCCGAGAAAGACCCCTCTGCCCAGGTGGCACCGTCTGGATAGCCTAATCTCCTCGATTAGATGGCCAAAGACATCCCTCCCGGTGACTCCAAATGCCTCTCCGCCATCTGCTAAGTGACCCTGAAAAGGAGGGGCTGGACGTCAGGACAACTCCTGCCTCGGCCTTCCTACCCAGGCTTTGAGGCAATCTGTGGCATGATTTTTAACCCATAAATCACCTGATCTCCATGACCAGCATTAGAACATTTTAAGTGATGCATCAGTACCCTTAAAATTCATTAAGCAGACAAGTTTGCATACTACTTGTGTGTGTGTGTGTGTGGGGGGGAACCAATCCCCTTTCAAATCGTGAAGGTGGCTTCAGAGGGCGGGCGGCCATGCTGGCCCACAGGAGGACGGCGCGATTCGCGCCCAGCGGCACCTCGTCAGCTCCCTTTGGTGGGCACCTGCTGGACTCCCACAAGCTCACACCCGGGACACCTGGACTCCCACCAAGCTCACACCCGGGACACTCTAATGTGCTACCCGAATTGAATCCGGCCATTTCAAATGTCCAGTTTAAATGAACAAAAAAGGCTAGGAGGCATGGAAAGGCCACTCTTAATATTTCCTTTTGTCATCCCTTTGGGTGACCGGTGTATGGGATATTCCTTGCTACCTTCTTTCTCACAAAAGCAAAAGTGGGCACACAAACAAGCTCCGTCCCCATCGGCATTACAGCAGGCTGCACAGAGGACACAGTGTGGTCCAGTTTCCTCCTCCCTCGATTTGGCAGGGGAAAGAGGGATTTCACCCAGCGGCACAGCTGCTAAGCGGATCACCCTCAGATCCCGGAACCACCCATTAAAGCTCCAGGTCATTATCCTGCTGAGGAACTGGCTGAGGACTGCAGGCCCGGCATTTGGAGGACCCAGACAAGAGAGTCTTTGCACTGCATGAGCCGTACGGAAACAGCCTTAATCCAGGTGAGCACAGATGGTGGGGAACAACGCCCACCCTCTCCACAGAACCATCCTGGCCCGGTCACAAAGGGCAACGGAGCTCTCTTGCAACCTCCCTTGCTACGCCGGGAAGAAAGGCTCTGTGGGCACCCCCGAAGCAGGGGGGAAAGTGGGCAACCAGGGACCGCAAGGGCCAGAGGGCCCCCACACAGTCTGGTCCTTCTTCTTCTCCTTCACCCCCTCCACCTTCTCCTGTCCTTCCTTTATCCCTGAGAAAACTGGAGCCAGAATAATATCCAGGTGGGAATGTGTCCACCACACCTCTATAGACTGCAGGACTCCTTCTTGTTGCCCAAGTGGGGCCCTGCTGACAGATGAGTCTGGGGCTCAGGACCCATGGGGGCTGCTCACTCTACAGAGCCATCTTCCCCTCCCTGTGACCCAGAAGCCACGCTTGCTTGGAGAGCAGATGGGGTCAGGACTGACAGCAAGCAGGACACAGCCCACGCCTCTTTCCAGCAGCGGCCTCTCACCAGAGCTCCTGCTCGTTCGTTCGGGTGCCTTCGCTGTAGCTTCTGCAGGCTGCTTCACACCCACAACCCAGGCGAAGCCCCCAGGGAATGTCCAGTGGGGAAGAGCTGGGCTGCTGAGACTGCCCCCCCCCTCTAGGGAGGAGGGAAGATTCTCCCGGGGGGGCCCCTGCCTGCGTGGGACACAGAAAGCCTCCTGGCCCCACCCGTGTCTTCAGCGTGCAGCAAAAATTCCAGCGGGCCAACTCCTGCTGCAGCTGGAAATGATCTATTCTGCAACCCAAGCAGAACCCGGTAACTGACAAGGTGTCTAACAACACTTCCCAGCCACCGTGTGCCGAATTAGCAGGACTGCTTCCTTGCCGCCTCTCCCCGCCACCACCATGATGTAGATTGATTGCCTGCTTTTATTAAGGACAAAGTGTTTTTTGATAGTGTGAGGGAACCAGGTCCCCAAGGGAGCAGAAATCAATCCCGCTCTCTGCTCCTTGCACATCGACCGACGGCCAGGAGAAGCCCGCCTGTGGGATGCAGAGGAAAACGCAGGAGGCCCCAGGGACAGCGCAGCCGATGGTGCGCCAGCCCCAGACCTGCCCACGCCATGTACTGGGCCCGTGTGACTTGCAGGCAGGAAGGCTGGGGACCCACGCAGGGACGTCTCCTGACAGACCGACTCCTTCACCACCATGCCCAGCGGCACGAGACGACAGGGGGCGAGGACACCCGGCCGCAGAGAGGTCTTGGCACGAGCCTGGGGGTGTGGGCGTGGCAGTGGGCTACGGTGCCAGAGACCAGCCCTGCTCCTGGGGGCCGTGGGGGGCCGAGGCAGGAGGTTCATCTTGGGGCCCAGTGCGGGGGGGGGGGGGGGCTTGGCTTCCCGGTGGTGTTTTCACCAGCCAGGCACAATCTCCAAGGCAGGATGGTGTCTTCCTGCCCCCCGCCCCCCACCACAGAAGAAGCACCGGGGCCGTCTGTCCTTACAGGGGCTGCCTGCCGAGGAAAGGCTCGGGGTACTCACTCTTCACAGTTAGGAACATGGACTTGCTGATGTCTGTACCGACGCCATTGCTTGCCTGGCACAGATAATAGCCAATGTCCTCTTCCAGAACATGCCGAATGAGCAGGGAACTGTTGGGCAGGATCTGGATGCGGCCAGTGAGAGGGACAGGGTGGTACTGCTGAGGATTTCCACTGCCTGTGAGGGAAACAAATTTAACAGCCCTTGAGTGTTTCTGGCCAACTCAAACCCCCAAACACCTCGCACACAATGCCCAGATTCTCTTGTGGTCTTTTAGCTGATATAACCACAGATTCAAGCTGAGATTACCACCAGCCTCCTCCTCAGAAGGGCCACAGTGGATCAGACCAGTGGCCGGCCACTCCAGCACCCGGTGCCAGGAAGGACAACAGACAGGACACCGAGGCCGAGGCCTTCCCCTGAGGTTGCCTCCAAGCAGTGGTATGTGGAGGTTTCCTGCCTCTCCGCATGGGGGTTCCCTTACTCCCACCACCACAGCTAGTAGCCACGAGGAAAAGTCCTTGTGAAGGGGGCCCGCTCACCCGCTCTCAGGGTCAGAATGCTGAAGAATGGCACCGACGGGTGAGACCCCCCCCCACAGACACACCCCTGCCCAAGCCTGACAAACACAGGAGGAGCACCAGCACCCCCACCCACCCACCTACCTTTGGCGTGCTTCCACATGACCTTCGGGGGAGGGTAGCCGTCAACCGAGCAGTTCAGCACTCCTGCTTTCCCATAGATCCCGTCCTGGTTGTTGGGCTGGACCACAAAGCGTGGAGGGACTAAGGAGAAGGGGAGCCGCCGTGAGCACCGGAGACAGCCCACGTGCGCCCCCTCCCCCAGGGGTCATCGTTCCAGCCCCCCCCGCCCCTGTGCTCTCCCCTCTCTCACTCAGCCCAGAATCCAAGGCCTCGGTGAGACCAGAAGGGCCACATCTCCAGCTGCCGTCACACCACCGGCAGCTTTTGCACTGCGGAAGGGCTGGAGTCAGCAGGACCAGAACCGCTGCTTCCACGTGGGAAAGACAAGCTGGTTCCCAGGCCAGAAAGCAGCACAGCAAGGAGGCACTGGAGGGGGTGGGGAAATGCCTTTTCTCCTGGGAGGCTGGCGAGCAGCAGAAACCCCCCCCCTTTCCCTCTGAGTTTTAAAAGTGGGGGAGGGGGGAGTGCCAGGAAGCCTTTTCCAATTGCCTACTGATTCGCAGCTATACATATCCTAATGGCCGGACAGGAGAACCAGTTAAGGGGATTTGGTGCTAGGAAGCCTCTAGGTGATTCCTGGAGATTTCCCAGAAAGCCTTCCAGGAGGGCTCCCTGGATGCACCTGGAGACAAGGGATGCTCTGTCTTCTTGCTGCTTGGGGGGGGAGGCAACAGTGGGAGGGCTCCTGGTGTCCTCCTGGCCCCACTGCTGGACCTCCTGATGGCCCCTGGTATTTCTGGCCACCGTATGACACAGAAGAGTGTTGGACTGGATGGGCCTTTGGCCTGATCCAACATCGGCCTCTCTCTTAGGTTCTTATGATATCCCAGGATGCACCTGTGACCTGGGCAGACCAGAGTGAGTGATGCAAGGTGGGTGGAGAAACAGGCTTAATAAAAGTTCTTGCTCCAAGGAGGAGGTCTCTCTTTCTCTTGACCCTCGACAAGGAGCAGCCCTGTGGCTGGTCTGGTCACTGTGGTGGCCACGGTTCTTCAGACCATGCAGCCTTTCGGGTAAATTGGACCACATGGGAACACAGACTTGCCACCTGCTAAGCAGCTTCAAGGGCCTGCCCTCTATTTTGACATCTAGCTAGGGCATGTGTAGGAAATGGGGAAAGGAGGATGCGTTTCTAACCACATTTTCTTTGCATTCCATTTGCTGATCTGTTGCTGTGCTTAAAAAGGATTGTAAATATTTTACTTTTAATACATTCTTTCTTGACTTTGAAGGACTGGCCTCTAGTCTCTGCACCACACAGACCCCCAGCCACTGTGGACACGCTATCATGAGAGGGACCCCCGGGCTGGGAGGAAAGCAGTCCGTGAGCACATGGCTATTTCTCCAGGGGAGACCCAAAGCTGAGCTTGGTCCCCGCGGCAACCAGGCGCTGTGCAACAGAAGACCCCCGAGGCCCGGCCTCCGAAGCAGGAAGGGGAACTGGGAGCCCTGTCCATCCCAGTGGGAAGCCCCTAAAGCGAGCAGGTGGTGGCAGCGAGTGCCCTCGTGGGAGGAGGCGGGCAACCCCGAGGAGTGGGTGGGCAGAACGGGGTCTTCAAGTCCAAGCAGGCCGGTTTCATCACCAAGGGTGGAACTGCTGGGCCACAGCCCCCCGTGAACTGTCTCCCCTTCTCCATGATCACCAGGATGAGGCCATCTTAGTGAATTTATTTATTTATTTATTTATTTTTCGTACTTATACCCCGCCCTCCCCAGTGGGCTCAGGGCGGCTTACAGAGGCAAGAACAACTTGCCATGGTAAAACAATATATACATAACAATTTAAAACATATGTTACATATTAAAATCTAATAACAAAGTGCTCAGTGCCATTCATAATCTGAAGATGGCGGATCGAATGTCCAAAGTCCCAAGAAGACGGCAGAAGGATTCTTCCATAGTAGGTGTTTAATCGGGACCTCAGGGCGGTGGTGGTATAGTAGGGGCGGCGGCTCCTACTCGAAAGCCTGGTGGAAGAGCTCCGTCTTGCAGGCCCTGCGGAACTGCATAAGATCCCGCAGGGCCCTGATCTCCTCCGGGAGCTCATTCCACCAGGTAGGAGCCGCCACCGAAAAAGCCCTGGTCCTCATGGCGGCTAGTTTGACATCCTTAGGGCCCGGGATGACTAATAAATTTTGGGCCCCTGACTGTAGTGCTCTTGGGGGAACATACAGGGAAAGGCGGTCCTTCAGGTAGCATGAAGACATGCTCTGGGGCAGGATCTTATTTATTTATTTTATTTATTTATTGCATTTATATCACGCCCACCCCGTAAACGGGCTCAGGGCGGGTCACAACATTTTGATAAATACAATAAAATTTAAAACACATAAAAACATATAAAATCAATAGTCATGCTTGGCGTAGGGAGAATCCGGCCCATTGAGGTAACTAGGTATGGCCGGTTATCGGTAGGTGGGAGGTTGCAACCTCGGGGGGGGGTGTCACGTGTGGACGCCCGCTGCCTCAGCCAAAGGCCTGGCGGAAGAGCTCCGTCTCGCAGGCCCTGCGGAATTGCGTAAGATCCCGCAGGGGGGCCCTGATCCCAACGGGGAGCCTGTTCCACCAGGCTGGGGGCCAGGGCGGAAAAAGCCCTGGCCCTGGCCGAGGCTAGGCGGACGTCCTCTGGGCCAGGGATCGCCAGGAGATGTTGACTCTCTCCAGGAGTGTAACCCTCTCCGAGGCGTATATGGGGAGAGGCGGTGCTTTAGGTATGTGGGTCCCAGGCCGTATAAGGCTTTAAAGGTAATTACCAGCACCTTGAAGTGAATCTGGTGCTCAACCGGCAACTAATGCAGCTCACAGAGCACATGCCGAACGTGGGCCCGCACAGGCACTGATGTCAGCAGGCGCGCGGCCGCATTTTGTACCAGCTGTAATGTCCAGATCAGCTTCAAGGGTAGGCCTGCATACAGTGAGCTGCAGTAATCGTGCCCGGAAGTGACCCATTGCATGGGTCACCGTAGCTAAGTCCTGGGGGGAGACGCAGGGCTTCAGTAGCCTGATCTGCCTGGGCCTCTGTAGATAAGGAGGTATCCAGTGTTACTCCCGGGCTCTTCACCGACTGGGCCGGCACCAGAGGTGTCCCTTCCAGTGTGGGAAGCCTGGTGCCCACCTCCAAACCCCCACGACCCAGATACAGGACCTCCGTCTTCAATGGATTTAACTTCAACCGACTCTGCCGCAACCATCCAGCCACAGCATCCAAAGCCTCAGCCCAATTTCCAGGAACGGACGATGGATGACCGTCCATTAACAGATAAAGCTGAATGTCTTCTGCATACTGATGACAACCCAGCCCATAACTCCGGACTAACTGGGCAAGGGGGCGCATACAGATGTTAAATAGTATTGGCGAGAGGATCGCCCCCTGCAGCACTCCACATTCTAGTGGGTAGAGACCCTCTCACCCAGCGCCACCCTCTGCCCCTGACCATGGAGAAAAGAGGACAACCATTTCAAGGCAGCCCCTGGACTCCCACGTCAGCAAGGCGATGGGTCATAAGATCATAACCAACCGTATCAAACGCTGCAGTTAAATCTAATAACAACAGCAGTGCTGACCCGCCTCGGTCCAGATGTCTACGGAGGTCATCTGTAAGGGCGACCAGAGCCATCTCTGTCCCATGGCCCGGACGGAAGCCGGACTGGAAAGGATCAAGGGTGGAAGCATCATCCAGGAAAGCCTGAGGTTGTTTGGCCACCGCTCTCTCAACCACCTTACCCAGCAACGGTACGTTTGACACTGGGCAGTAGCTGGCCAGGACCATTGGGTCCAATGATGGCTTTTTCAAGAGTGGCCGAACTACCGCCTCCTTTAAAGCCTCCGGAAAAGTCCCAGTAGACAGGGACAAGTTGATGATTTCTTCCAGAGGGGCCCGAATGCTCTCCCCGCAAGATTTCACTAGCCAGGAAGGTCAGGGGTCAAGGAATCAAGTAGTGGGCCTCACAGCTGCCAAGAGGTGAGTCGACGGAAGTGGTCCAATAGCGGACCAGAAGATGGACAAGAGGATTCCAGTTCCTTTACTGTCTCAATTGTGGCCAGGAGGTCCTGCCAGAGTGCCACGATCTTATCTGCGAAGTAGTTTGCAAATGCCTCACAGCCAATAGCCAATTCCCTACTATTTGGTCTGCCCTGAGGCAGAGTCGTAATGGACCGAATAACGCTAAATAACTGGGCTGGGTGCGAGCTCACAGACGAAATGGAGGCTGTGTAGAAATCCTTCTTCATGGCCTTCACCGCCATCTCATAGGCCTTCATAAGTGTCCTATAAGATGTTTGTGACACTTTGTCACAAACACGCCACCACCTTCGCTCTAGCCGTTTTAGCTCCCACTTCATCCTTCGCAGCTCCATGGCATACCATGGTGCTGCTTTGGTGCGGGGGCGCAGAGGGCACTGGGGGGCAATCTCGTCGATGGCTTCGGAGAGCCAGTATTCCCAGTCCTCCACCAGCTCATCCAATGAGATGCCAGGGGGCATTGGATCCCGCAGAGCCTCCTGAAGCCGACTAGGATCCATTTGACTCCATTGGTGAGCATAAATGTGCTCACCGCCTAAACAGGGTGGGCATGGTATGCTCAGCCGGACCTTCAGGGCAAAGTGGTCAGACCATGGGACTACATCTGTAGCCATCAGATCCACATGTATCCCCATCCCAAAAATCAAATCCAGTGTGTGGCCCACTTGGTGCGTGGGAGTTGATATAAACTGGGAGAGTCCCAGTGCCTCTGTGGACGACACCAGGTCCCTGGCCTGGACAGACGCTGCATCATTTGCATTAGCATTGAAATCACCCAGGATCAGGAGCCTGGGATATTCCAATGCCCAGCCTGATACAGCATCTAACAGGTCGGACAGGGTATCTGCTGGTGCATTAGGCAGTCAGTACACCAGCCAGATAGCCAAACTCTCCTCAACATCACATGCTAGACCGACACATTCAATGCCGGAGATTGTTGGGGTGGGGAGCGACCTGAAGGAACAAAATTCACGGATAAGCAAAGCCACACACACCCCTGCCCATAGGTCCGTGACTGGTGAAAGACCGAGAACCCAGGTGGAGTAAGCTGGTTCAAGGCAACAGTTTCGCCATCTCTTGCCCAGATCTCAGTCACACAGGCCAGGTCTACCCGTGACTCCATGAAATAATCACGGAGCACATCGGTCTTATTATTGATAGACCTGGCATTGAATAACACCAGTGTCAGAGAAGGGTAAGTTTTCCTAGCCCCACAACCAGCATCCCCTGGGGATGGGAAGAAGTCCGAGCATTTCCATATCTCTGATTTCTTCCATTCCAATTAAAGGAAGAGCACCTACGCCCACCACTATATCTCCCCCGCCCCGTAATCACCGGTATCCCTGAACCTTGCATGGCCCCCCTTCATCAGTGCTGTCAACCCCAACACTCTCCAGCAAACGCTGTGACTACATGATCTACCTGGCTCATCAGTGACCCTTGGTCTAAACTAAGTACCCCGTATTGCCTTCTCCAGCTAATCAAACTGCTATCTAATTTATCCACCCTATTGCAGCTAAACCAATTGGGTTGACTAACTAAACAACTACAATCAACCTAATCAACTCCAATACAATAAACCAATTTGATTAAAGAAAATCAATAATCAGTTAATCAGTGGGGGGGGGATTTAGGTTGGGGAAAATTATATAAATCAATCAGTCAAATTACCCTCTCTCTAACCACCCCACCCCCACCGCATTAACATTATAAAATTATTGAATAATTGATTAACTAATACAATATAAAATCAATTTAAATGTAACCAAATCATCAATTAATCGAACTAATCGTTAACTGCAAAGGGCAAGATATAAAACAGACCTGACCTAGTTATTTAGCAAATTCTTTATGGGTCTTTAAATTGTCTCTGTCAAACCAAATCTCTGCCACACCAAGTCCCACAGTGGCTCTGGGGTCTGCTGTTCCTGGCTGCAGTGTCATTTGTGTTCCTGCACTGAGCGGGGGGGTTGGGGTTGGGGCTGGGGCTGGACTAGATGGCCTGTATGGCCCCTTCCAATGCTGTGATTCTTCTGTGATTCCGTGGTCTATGACCTATTCGCTTGCACAGCATTCCAGCCAGCCTTAGGAAGTATGCGACCTCTTTCCCTTAAAGCAAGGCAAGGACCTAATTCCTTCCTCTGCTGCTTTGGAAGCCTGCTGCCACCCTTTGCTCCTGAGGAGCAGCTGGACCTCACCCTTTGCTAGGTCCACCCAGCAGCACTCCCACAGCCTCCTTGCCAAGCCAACGTCAAGCCCAGCTCAACAGCTCCGTGTGGGTCAGGGGGGCGCATGCCTGTGCTCCCATTTCCTTCCACATCTCCCCTGGCAGCCCCCTCCGCCCCATATGCTTCCAGGGACAGGGGAAATAGCCCATTCAGTGGAATGGGTGGGGGCCCTGACGTGGGGGCTCCCACCCAGCAGCCGCTTGCATGCAAGCCCACCCCCCCCGCGCGCGCGCCACGTCCTCACCTCGCACAATGAGCTGCCGCTCACGGCTGACGGTGGCCGCATCATTGCTAGCGATGCAGGTGTAGTTGCCGTTGTGCTTGAGAGAGACGCTGGAGATCTGCAGGGAGCTCATGAACTCCTTGCTCTCAATGGTGACGCCAGGGCCAGAGATGATCACCTGCCCATCTTTCCTCCACGTGATGCGGATGGGCATGTCACCTGAGGAGACCACGCACGGGATGTAGAGGAGCTGTCCAATGGAGGCCGGAGGGAATTCGAAGGGCTGGATCAGAGGAGGCACTGCCAAGGAGAAGAGCAAACGCATCACACCTGGCCCCAAAAGGCCCAGCAGCAGCAGCAGGAGGAGGAGGAGAAAAGGCCTCGCCCACGCCCACCCTTCCCTGCCCCCTGAGACAGACCCAGCACAGCCCTGCCACCCCAGGCCAGGGGCTACCTCAGGTGCACAAAGGCTGGGGTCAGGCCAGGGAAAGGCATTGCCTGAAGTGAACCACAGGCTGTGGACCAGGAACCACCACTCCCCCAGTTCAAATCTCCTTCCGCCATAAGTCTACCAGGCAGCCTTAGCTTAGGCCAAGCACACTTTCTGTGGTGTGTGTGTGTGTGTGTGTATGACATCACAAGTTCTGCATTTCTCTAAGCACTGAGTTGTTGTGGAGCCTGGGTCAGTTCCCTTTGGCCAAGAGTGCCCTGGAGATATCTGGTGTCCATGTAAGACTGATTGTATTTACAGAGATGCAAGTAGAGGCCAAGAGACGAGCCTGAGGGGTAACAGCTTTCCCATCCCACATCAGATCCTCAGAGAGAGGGACGCGCAAGCATGCAATGTCCCCGTCCGTCCCCCGCCAAGGGTTGCAACCAGTGTTCCCTCTAAGCTGATTTAGTGTGAGCTAGCTCACAGTCTTTTTAGCCTCCAGTCTTAGCTCAGGAAGGAGGGCTCCAAAGCAAACTGATCGGTGCAGCAGCCAAATCGCTCGCTCACCACTTTAATGCCAGTAGCTCACAAAGTAGAATTCTTGCTCACAAGACTCCACAGCTTAGAGCTTAACATCAGGAAGGTTGTAGAACAGCTTTTACGGGAAAGCCAACAGAGGAAGGGGAGTCTCCCATTCTGGAAAACTCATCCCCTGGGAATGGTGGTGAAAATTAGACACGTCATCTTGGTGGAAACAGGGTAGAACGTGCTGTAATGAGAGGTGGACCTAGAGGCCACATTAATTGTAAGTTTCTAGAGCTGGTTCTGTTTCCTGGTCATGATGCCACCTCACTAGGTCCTTGTGCTTCCTTTCATTTAATGGAGGATTTGTTCCCTGTGAGGGGAGGGACTAGTCCTCCTCTTCCTGCCTAGAGCTTTAGGGGACGCAGGACTGGCCGTTGTCTGCTCTGGAGGTGAACAGGTAACCAACCTTGAGTCCGAGGGCCAGGATTGGGGTGGAGATTATAAATCCTTCCATCTCCATGGCTGTGTGTGCATTTCTCTGGCATCCGTGAGCAGGGGTGCGCTGCCGGTGGGTTGTGAGCCTCCTGCTGGGGAAGCATATGGGCCATGCCTGCCTGTTCTAGGTCACACAGACCAAGACAGGAAGCCATGTGAGTCTGTCTGGAGCAGGAGAAAAGAGCCAGAGTCCAGGAGCACCTGACAGACCCAACAAAATCTGTGACAGGGGAGGAGCCTTGGTGAGTCGCGGCTCACTTCTTCAGAGACAGCTAGACAGTCAGTCCGTCTGCCCTTGTACCCCGGAGAGTGGAGCAACTCTTCACAAGGATGATGGATCCCCAGGGCTATTTTTGGGCAGGAACGCACAGGAACGGAGTTCTGGCTGGCTTCAGAGTTGGCCACGCCCAGTACAGCCAAAACCTCTGCGTGCCTGGCTACAGAGGGGAAGGCCCAGAGAGCGACACCCCTGGCAGCCCCAAGGCGCGCGGGGGGGGGGAGCCAAGGGAAGGCATGTGGGGTGTGGCCTAATATGATAATACACGGTGCTGCTAGGGTGTGGCCTAATATGCTAATGAGGTTCTGCTGTTGAGTCTGGCCTGTTATGCTAATGAGTTCAGGAGCACCTGAAAGACCAACACCGTTTGGGGCAGGCAGGGGAGGAGCTTTGGTGAGTGCCTGCAGTCACTTCCGATCCCCGAAGAAGTGAGCCCTGACTCGTGAAAGCTCATCCCCTGCCACAGATTTTGATAGCCTTTAAAGTGTTACTCTGGACTCCGGCTCTTCTCTACTGTTCCAGGTCAGCCGCGTGAAGGACCTCACATCCAGGGAACATAAGAGAACATAAGAGAGATCGGGCCACATGTCGGATCGGGCCACTGGCCCCTCCAGTCCAACACTCTGTGTCACACACAGTGGGCCAGAAACACCACCAGGCGCCCTCAGAAGAGGTCCACCCCCAGTGGGGCCGGGGCAGCGGCTCTCCGCCTCTCTTGACTTCCATCCTGTGAATAACTCGGTCAGAGAACTTGGCTGTCCCACCATGACAGAAATGAAAAGCCCACTTCTTCAGAGAACATTTTTATATTTACAGGCATTCTGTTATTATACTGATCCTTTCCGACAGGTTTTAAGGAGAGAGGGGAAAATGCAGTGGCATTGTTGGGAGTAAATTTTATTGCTATGGCTTTAAAATACAAACAATAATAGTAATTCCATTAGTTACAATACTGTGGAGTATAATTTTTGTTGCTATATCTGCAAAACACATGGGAGAGGGGGAGAAGCATCACCGTTCATCCCCGGCAGGGAGGACTGGCAGGAAGCGGCACATCAGGCAGGAATCTGGTGGGCAAGAGGGACCTCGGTTTTTTTTGGGGGGGTGTTTATTTTTATTTATTTATTTACAGGTGATTTATATACCGCCCTTAACCCCTAGCGGGTCTCAGGGCGGTTTACAATGTGCTACTGTATAGTAGCTAATACCTATCTAGGGCCACATATGGTGCAGGGGGGGGGACAACCTACCAGCACCCCTAATACGGCACGGTGTTCCTTCGGCAGCTTTTTCTTGGTGTGAGTTGTTGCTGTTGATGTTGTCCTGCGACCCGGCTGCTATCGGCTGGACGAGCTGGCTGTTATTCTTTTTGGAGCGGCGTATCTCTCCTCGGGCGCAGCCTCGGCAACGTCCAAGCGGCTCCTGCCGCGCTGCGTCCCGCGTTCTGACGTCGCTCCAACTCTACGACCAACTCCGCCCTCGGCTCCGCCTTCACCACTGCTCGAGCCAGTCACCGCCGTTCTGGTCGCCTTTCGCCGTTTCTCTGCCGCCGCCATTTCTTTTCCTCGCTTGCTGCCACCGACTCGATCTTCTCCTTCACTTTTCTTTACTGCCGATCACCAGCACAAGGCTGGGAAGGGAGGGGGGTGCCCCCTGCCATCTAAGGCAGGTACCGATTCCTCTGATGTTAACAGAGCCGCTGGGTTGGCGGGAGCTGGGACGAGGGCCGGGGGCTCAACCCGGCCGCGGTGGGGAATCGAACAGCCTTCCGGCTGTTCGTCCAGATGTTAACAGCAGGCATTGTAATGCCTGCGCCACCGCTCCCTACTGTTTAGGAGACACACCAAGTGTCTGGGGTGGCTACTTGCACGGCGGAAGGCCACAGACGGATAATCCGTGGCAGGCAGAGCCAGCAGGGGGCGTCACGGTGGCAGGTGGATGCACGGGGGGGGGAGAGCAAATTCTCAGTCACTGTTACGAAAGTCCTGAGTCCCACCTGCCTCCTCCTGGGCCCCCCTGCAGCTGGGAACCCCCCCTGTGTTGTAGAACCTGTCCTTGTCTTCCATTGTCAGGTTACCTTCAACCTGTTAGAGTGCTTAATCTTTTTATTCCTTTTGACTTTTTTCTGCTTTTAGTATAATCTTTTAGTAAAACAATCTGAAACGCTGCTGGGGTTCTTTGTCCAGGCAGCTTGTAACAAAAAGCCTCTGTCGAGGGAATTCAAGGGTGAGCAACCTCGGCCCCCTTTAAGTACAAGCAAACCTTCAGAAGTCAAGCTGGCGGCGGCAGCAGTCCACCAAACTCGCACCCCCTCAGTGGCTAAGCGGGGCAGGTGGAGAGTCGGCAGAAAGGGGCTGGGGGGAGCATGGGGGTCTGGGCAAAGGGGCTGATCCTCCCACCCCCACGGCACTTGTGGAGGAGTGTGCAGCAAGAAGTGAAACTCATCTAAGGGAGACAAAGAGTCAAAGGAATCGCTGTGTGTGTATCAGTGTCCACATGCCACTGCCAGAAGCCTCCGAGCAAGATGTGGGGACCAGAGGGGTTATTACGGAAAGAAGGCACAGGTACAGTGATCCTGTCTGAAGGCTGGCAGAATGGGAAGAAGCAGTGGGATGACGTCGCCCCTGGATAGAAACGTTATGGGAAACTGAGGCAAGGCCGTGCTGGGGGCAGCTGTGGATCTCTGTCTAAAAGAGAGGACCATCTAAAAATTAAAAGACACCGGAGGAAAGTGTAAGTAAAGTCAGAGTGGTTACACACGTCGAACAAGACTTGCTGAGAAAGAACAAGCAAGGTTTCTGCAAGTTGGCAGAAACTGCATACCAGGACTTCTAAGAACCATTGGACCAGTTGCCTCATCAATATAATTCTCAGTGGAGGGAGGTAAGCAGTGGGGTACCACAGGGATCAGTACTTGGTCCACTGCTTTTTAACTTCTTCATTAATGATTTGGAGTTGGGCGTAAGCAGTGAAGTGGCTAAATTTGCGGACGATACGAAGTTGTTCAGGGTGGTGAAAACCAGTGAGGATTGTGAGGCACTCCAAAGGGATCTGTCAAAGATGGGCGAGTGGGCGTCAACATGGCAAATGGGGTTCAATGTGGCCAAGTGCAAGGTGATGGAGCCAAAAATTCTAAATATAAATACACGTTGATGGGGTCTGGACTGGCAGAGACTGATCAAGAGAGAGATCTTGGAGTGGTAGTAGATAACTCCCTGAAAATGTCGAGACAGTGTGTGACTGCAATAAAGAAGGCCAATGCTATGCTGGGGATTATTAGGAAGGGTATTGAAAACAGATCAGCCCATATCATCATGCCCCTATATAAATCAATGGTGTGACCTCATCTGGAATACTGTGTGCAGTTCTGGTCACCACACCTTAAAAAGGATATTATAGCTTTGGAAAAAGTGCAGAAAAGGGCAACTCGAATGATAAAAGGGTTGGAACACTTTCCCTATGAGGAAAGGTTAAAGTGCTTAGGGCTCTTTAGCTTGGAGAAACGACGACTGAGGGGTGACATGATCGAGGTTTATAAGATTATGCATGGGAAAGAACAGGTAGAGAAAG